CATCAACTTACATGAGTGGTGTCATGTGCCAAAGGACATCAACTTACATGAGTGGTGTCATGTGCCAATGGACATCAACTTACATGAGTGGTGTCATGTGCCCAATGGACATCAACTTACATGAGTGGTGTCATGTGCCAAAGGACATCAACTTACATGAGTGGTGTCATGTGCCAATGGACATCAACTTACATGAGTGGTGTCATGTGCCCAATGGACATCAACCTACATGAGTGGTGTCATGTGCCCAATGGACATCAACTTACATGAGTGGTGTCATGTGCCCAATGGACATCAACGTATTATTTCCTCATTCCTGTTCTATTAAAATTACAGATGTATTGTACTGGTAATTTGTCTGGACACCACAACCCTATCAAGCCATAGTATACCACAGAAGATCCTTATCTGTATGTGGTGCCACACTGATGTATAATTATCAGAGACTATATCATAACAAAAGACGTTTTATTGCCATTCATCTTAAAATCATATTAAAAAAAATCACGTCAATGCAACTGTATGCACCAGCATATGAATATATTACCCTTATCCTCCCATAACACCCACTGCTCAGCAAACTCAGATATTATTATACAGGATTTATACACTGATTGGCCAGATTATTATGACCCCCCATCAGTACTTTGTTGGGCCGCCTGGTGACTCCACGAGATGATGAAAGGTGATGCGAGGAATCTGACACGGCACTGTGGCCCTTCTGTTGTCTTGTACCAGTCTTGCCCCTCCCCCGTTCTGCCCTAACATTGACTAGTCGCTGACGGCCACAATTCGCACGCTCAGACCCAGATTTTCGGCTGACAGTCCGGTCTTTAAACACTTTAACAATGAGCCGATCCTGAACATGTAACGAATTCTGCTGTTTTGCTGATACTCGCTCCATGGCTCCGAGCGCCAACAATCATCCCGCGTTCCAAGGCTGTTACATCGCTTTGTTTCCCCGAATCTTCCCAATCACTTCTACTGTCGTGGTAACCAACCCGCTTCCCTATTTATAATGGTCTGGCCCTCTAGCAACTTCAGCGCCAGATTATAGCGAATTAGCCTACAAACGTCAGGTGGTCATAACAATCCGGCCACTTACTGTCGTGGGAACCAACCCGCTTCCCTATTTATAATGGTCTGGCCCTCTAGCAACTTCAGCGCCAGATTATAGCGAATTAGCCTACAAACGTCAGGTGGTCATAACAATCCGGCCACTCAGTGTATATAATAATCCGGCCACTCAGTGTATATAATAATCTGGCCACTAAGTGTATATAATAATCCGGCCACTCAGTGTATATAATAATCCGGCCACTCAGTGTATATAATAATCCGGCCACTCAGTGTATATAATAATCCGGCCACTCAGTGTATATAATAATCCGGCCACTCAGTGTATATAATAATCCGGCCACTCAGTGTATATAATAATCCGGCCACTCAGTGTATATAATAATCCGGCCACTCAGTGTATATAATAATCCGGCCACTCAGTGTATATAATAATCCGGCCACTCAGTGTATATAATAATCCGGCCACTCAGTGTATATAATAATCCGGCCACTCAGTGTATATAATAATCCGGCCACTCAGTGTATATAATAATCCGGCCACTCAGTGTATATAATAATCCGGCCACTCAGTGTATATAATAATCCGGCCACTCAGTGTATATAATAATCCGGCCACTCAGTGTATATAATAATCCGGCCACTCAGTGTATATAATAATCCGGCCACTCAGTGTATATAATAATCCGGCCACTCAGTGTATATAATAATCCGGCCACTCAGTGTATATAATAATCCGGCCACTCAGTGTATATAATAATCCGGCCACTCAGTGTATATAATAATCCGGCCACTCAGTGTATATAATAATCCGGCCACTCAGTGTATATAATAATCCGGCCACTCAGTGTATATAATAATCCGGCCACTCAGTGTATATAATAATCCGGCCACTCAGTGTATATAATAATCCGGCCACTCAGTGTATATAATAATCCGGCCACTCAGTGTATATAATAATCCGGCCACTCAGTGTATATAATAATCCGGCCACTCAGTGTATATAATAATCCGGCCACTCAGTGTATATAATAATCCGGCCACTCAGTGTATATAATAATCCGGCCACTCAGTGTATATAATAATCCGGCCACTCAGTGTATATAATAATCCGGCCACTCAGTGTATATAATAATCCGGCCACTCAGTGTATATAATAATCCGGCCACTCAGTGTATATAATAATCCGGCCACTCAGTGTATATAATAATCCGGCCACTCAGTGTATATAATAATCCGGCCACTCAGTGTATATAATAATCCGGCCACTCAGTGTATATAATAATCCGGCCACTCAGTGTATATAATAATCCGGCCACTCAGTGTATATAATAATCCGGCCACTCAGTGTATATAATAATCCGGCCACTCCGTGTATATAATAATCCGGCCACTCAGTGTATATAATAATCTGGCCACTCAGTGTATATAATAATCCGGCCACTCGGTGTATATAATAATCCGGCCACTCAGTGTATATAATAATCCGGCCACTCGGTGTATATAATAATCCGGCCACTCAGTGTATAAGAGGTGCAACATTGCATCAGAACTGACATAAACAATATACAATAATGATATGCAAATTTAGACACACAGTCATATACAAAGTACAGATTTCATAGATCAAATACCAGCCATACAAAGGACGGGGCGCTCTCTCCTATCCAAGGGGAGATCACAGGGGACGTAATGGGGATCCTGGGAAGCTGGAGCTCATGAAAGGCTTCGGTAAGCTTCACTGCTTATAATATAATGTGTGTCATTATAAAACATTAGAAGATATCTTTATTTATACGGAAGTCATTGGACCTCTTATTCCTGTTCTACTGACGGCCTCTCTCCATATTTCATGTACAAGCCTCCCGTGGGCAGGTAGTGAGGGCCCCAGTGGAGTCACAGATAAACAAATAAAAACCTGACTGATTTTTAGCTATGTTACATGAAATGAGTAAAGGTCAGAGAACCCCTCATGGCTGGCAGGGCTGTGGATGGCGTAGATATGTCACCTAGGTGCAGGGCAGCCATCAGAAATTTTGGGGCCCCTTACCCGGCTTTAGGCCGCCCCCCCCCCCCGCACCGCTGGATGCAGGGCTTAGTGACGCGCTGGACGCAGGACCCACCTGAGAGTGACCCTGCAGAGCCCACCATAGATGCTGCACAGCCCATCTGAGACTGTCTATGGTGGGCTCTGAAGGGGTCTCGGGTGGACTGTTCAGGGCTGCATCCCTCCCCTCCTTCCTTCCTTCCTAGCTCCTCTTACCTGCACACATGGCCTCATCTGCCGCCGGACCAGCCAGAAGTGACACACGGCCAGTCCGACATCAGACGAGCAGCGACGCTGATGGGGCCCTAGCTTGTCTCAAAGCCGCTGGAGCTGCAATGTTGGGGCCCTGCGCTGTCGGCCTCACCCTTCACAGTCGGCCGATAGTCATGTAAGGGACCCGGGTGGACCCCCCTGATGGCTGCCCTGCCTAGGTGTCTCGAACACACATGGTGAGGGGCTCCAGGGTTTGTGCCTGCTATGGAGGTAACTCTGTTGTTTTCTCAGCTCTTCAAAAGTTCTGCTCCGGGCTCTGGAACCCGGGGGGTGTATAGAGCTTGGGGTGAGATAAAGCTTCCATTCCTGGGGCCACATCTCACCTGTTAGCCAGACCTCATTCTTAGTATCAGCTGTCCACTGGCCATTTTATATCTGAACCGATTTATATGTGCTGTAGGAGCCTGCTGCTGGGTGAAAAGCCTGACTGCTAACAGAACAGTGAAATGGTAGAAGAGCTGCCCGCTTGTTTTGGAGAACCCGTTAGGAGGCGCCCTGCTAGTCAGGAACTTACATAGATGTAGTTAGTGGCTCGGATGAGCAGATGTGTTGTTGTCTTATGCTATGGACTTACAGTCAGGCCCGGATTCCCCACAAGGCCACCGAGGCACGGCCTCGGGGCGGCAGGGAGCAGAGGGGCGGCAGTGGGGTGGAATCCTCCAAAACCCGGAAAATACAGTTTCAGGCGCCGTGCGGTAAGTTGCGCTTTCTAGATTTATTCCTGCTTTGGGAAGGCGGGACTGAATGCAGTGTGGGGAAGCCGATTGTTCGTTTACAAGTGATCGCCGCGATCACTTGTAAAATGTGTGCAGCCTGTCCGTCCTCCCCTCCTCCCCCCCCTGCACCTACCTCTCTCCTCTGGGTTCGTCCTCCCCTCCTCCCCCCTTGCACCTACCTCTCTCCTCTGGTTCCGTCCTCTCCAAATGCTATCACACAGGGGCTTGTTAGCTAGCTCCTGTGTAATAGCAATAAAGTTAAGGGAAAAAATATTTTAATAAAAATTTAAAAAAATAATAAGAAATAATAATTAAATGAAAATAAATAAATAAAAAAGGTGATTAAAAAGTAAAAAATAATAAGAAAAAAATGATTAGAAAATAATTATAAAAAATAAACAAAAATAAAAGGTAAAAAAATTATAAAAAATTAAAAAAGTAAAAGAAAAGCTAAAATTTTTTAAAAAAAGTAAAAATAAATAAAGTTAAAAATAAATAAAGAAACAATAAAAGAAAAAGAAAACTAACCCTGCCATCCGGTTGCCATTGGGAGGGGGGTGCATTGCGGAACCTGGCCTTAGGGCAGCAGGGAGAGTAAATCCGGCCCTGCTTACAGTACAAAGCCCTACTGCACTGAACTATGCTTGTTTACTGCCTTGCTGAACAAAAGTGCAGGACAAACCTGCTTGGACCGCTTCTGGATGTCCATGCCTTGTGCATGGTTTACCGCTGCCACTACCATTTGACCCTGTTCCCCTCATTGGATGAACCTCATCAGTGTTTAGTGGAGCTCCATAAGAAGCCGTTTCTGGTGGCAATAGAACATCTTATGATCTGGCAAGCCCCAAAAACAGCACACCTTTCCTTTACCGTGCAGTGTTTGGTCTTTATATCGGGCAAACCGTTCTCCTATTCCTAAACTTCCACTTCTTGAACGGCGGAAATGAGTTCACTATTCGGCAAACTTGTTCCCGAAAGTCCCCTCCGGCAAGAAAACAGAAGAGGGGATTGATGCAGGTATTCAGACTGCACACAGCCATCTCTATGAAGAACAGAGCGTCCGCCCTCTCGATGGCCAATTGCATGGTTGGCGTGAGCACCCTCAATAATATGCAGGAGTTCCTGGAGGCATGATAAGGTAGGTAGAGGAGACCGAAAATGACCAACGCCGAACACATGAGTTTGCTCAACAGATTTCTCTTCTTCAGTCTTTGCATTTCGACCCGCCTGAGTTCACCTACGCTGCTACAGTAGCAGTAGCATATAGAAGCAAAGGGTAGAAGACACCCGACAGCAGTTGAGATTAAAGAGTAAGGCAACGTGACGTGCGTTTCCTCGGAAAACACATAAAGGGAGCAGATTGTTTTATTGTTCTCGCAGACTTGGGTTCCGGCCAAGAAGGTTACAGGCAAACTACTGATAGACGTCGCCATCCAAATGGTCAGAGAGATGAGCAAAGACTGGTGCTTCTTGAGGATCCTCAAAGACTTGAGAGGGTGCACGATGGCCAGGTAACGATCTATGCTCAGGCAGGTGACAAAGTAGATACTGCAGTAATAGCAAGTGTGATAAATGGTCCGGGTTATTTTACAGGCGGCGTCGCCGAAGATCCAGTGCAGATAGTTGAAGTGGTAGTAGATCAGGCACGGGAGGCAAAGGATCCAAGTGATATCAGCCAGGACTAAGTTGAAGAGGAAGATGGTGCTTCGGTTCCAGCGTTTGATCCGAGCTACCAAGATCCACATGACGGCGAGGTTCAGAGCCAATCCCACCAAGAGGATGAAGAGGAAGATGATCGGGTAGATAATTCTCTGTATAGTCCCGAGGAAGGTGCCGGTTTTCTCGCAAAAGTCATCCTGCACCCTCTAAGAGAAGAAAAAAAAAAGGAAAAATCATCAGTTGGGTCAACTAGTCTCACTATGAGCAAAGTCTGGAATCCAAAAGGCTTTGTTATCTCCAAGCTGATCTACACAACAAGCAATCAGAATGATGAATTGCTCTGCACCGGCTTCCCGAGAGTGACGATGGTGCTCCATGCAGGCCCGGCGCTACCGCAAGGCAAGTCAGGCGGCCGCCTGACGGCGCTGCAGGGTGAGGGCGGAAAAAACAGGGCATTTTGACAAGTACTTGTACTTGTCAAAATGCCCTGTTTTTTCCGCCCTCACCCTGCAGCGCCGTCAGGCGGCCGCCTGACGGCGCTGCAGGGTGAGGGCGGAAAAAACAGGGCATTTTGACAAGTACTTGTACTTGTCAAAATGCCCTGTTTTTTCCGCCCTCACCCTGCAGCGCCGTCAGGCGGCCGCCTGACGGCGCTGCAGGGTGAGGGCGGAAAAAACAGGGCATTTTGACAAGTACAAGTACTTGTCAAAATGCCCTGTTTTTACAGGGGTCGGGGAGCGGGGGGGGGCGCAAAAATGTACCTTGCCTGGGTTCGCTTTAATCCTAGCACCGGCCCTGGCTCCATGCCTACACAATGTGTGTTAGCCGTCTCCACCACGTGGGTATATGACAGGGTGAGAATGAAGAAGCACAATTAGGACAGTTGGAACCCTCTATTAAGAAGTGCCTAAACAAGGATCTTCCTGGCAAGATCACCAGGGACTATTTTAACAAGTTGTGGACGCTGGATATGCGACAACAAGCCCAAAATAACTTCATCAAAGTAAACAGGACGTGTGTAGGAGTTCCTGTGCTTCTGCCCTGCTGCTGCTCCCTCCCCCTTGCGGGCAATACTCAGCTGTCAAAATGACAGCAGGGAACTGCTGTGTAACTACCATCAAACAACGGGCCACCTGATGCAGTGTTTACAAACATTGTTCAGAGGCGAGGCGGAGAGATACAAAGTATAACTGTTACTTTTATATCCATTCTGTTTTATTTTTATCTGCAGATCAAAGGGATGAGCTTCAATCTGCATATGATGTCAGTTAAAGCGACCTAATGTCACACACTGTCATACAGTGCTAACGTTTCGGGTCCGCACAGGGATCCTTCATCGTCACTGTGGCTCTGATGAAGGATCCCTGTGCGGACCCGAAACGTTAGCACCGTATGACAGTATGTGACATTGGGTATTGAATAAACATATCAATAGTTTAAAAACCCTTCGAGTGTGTGCTGGTGATTTACTTTTATTTACTATTAGTGTTTTGCACGGCGCCATCCGTGTGGTCACCTGGACACCACATGTACCTTGTGGTTTTGAGACCGTGGCAGTGCGAATGGGATTTGGACTTTGTAGTTAAAGCGACCCGACGAGTGAAAGGGGGCTGGATAGGTAATGAAAGCTGTAGATTTAAAAAGACTGAAAACAACTTTTGGAATCACAATCACATCTTGGAGACTTTGTGAGATTTTAGTCATCGGGTTTAGATCTACTTTAAAGTGACACTAAACTCAGAAGTGAAACCATACAAATACAGTCAAGTCCCTGAACTAGTAACAACAATGGGGGGATGTATCAAAACTGGAGCAGACAAAATCTGTAGCAGCCGTGCCTGGCAACCAATCAGCTTCTTTCTTCAGTTTGTTCAGTTAAGATTTAAAAATGAAAGAGAGAAGCTGATTGGTTGCCGCACACAGCTGCTCCAGTTTTGATAAATTCCCTTCTATGTATCTCATTTGTGTATCACTCGGCTGTAGATCCTCCAATCATCTCTGAATTGGTGCTGACACTGTCCTTCCTTCTGGAGGGGGGCTAGGTCTGTTCCCCATCGTCCCTGTGTGTTGTAAAGTAGTCACCGCTCCAATGCTCACTCCCGGGATGGACTACAATCTTAATACAAATCCGTAAACTAAACATGAGATTGTAGTCCATCCCGGGAGCGAGCTTGGAGCGGTGACTACTTTACAACACACACAGGGACCATGGGGACCAGATGTAGCCCCCCTCCAGAAGGAAGGACAGTGTCAGAGAATGATTTGAGGATCTACAGCCGAGGACAGAGCCGATCATAGAAGGAATAGTCGGCTGAAACGTCACTTCAAATATGTCTTTTATATAAGAATTACAAATATTTGACCAGTGACAAGCTCTGAGCTCGTTCCCGGGATGGACTACAATCAGAATACAAATTAGTAAACTAAACATTGTAGTCCATCCCAGGAGCTTGGAGCGGTGACTACTTTACAACACACACAGGGACCATGGGGGACACAAGTAGCCCCCCTCCAGAAGGAAGGACAGTGTCAGAGATGATTGGAGGATCTACAGCCGAGTGACACACAAATAAGATACATTGTTGTTCAGAGTTCAGGGACTTGAATGTATTTTTAAGATTTAACTTCTGAGTTGAATATCACTTTAATAAACAATCACTTTATCAAAAAAAAGATGACATAAAAATAAATAATAAATGGGTAAAATCATCATTTAGCAAATATTTAATACAAAAAAAAATAAGCTTACAAACGGTACCTAGTGTTTTTAGGGTTGTCAAGCCAGGAGAATTCTCCTGCGTGGGTTTTTTGTGCATTATATTGCGCAAATATAATAGAAAAGTTACAGTCAGAGTATAAAATAAACCTCACATTCCATGGGAAGAGTTTCCCAGAGTTTTAAATGAGTTTAGGGACTTGAATGGATTTTTAAGATTTAACTCCGGAGATTAGTGTCACTTAAAGTGACATTAAACCCTCAGATTTTTTAACATAAAACAATACTGTAATGTGCGCCTTACTGTAATCCATGGTTGTTTCCCTTCTCTTTGCTGCTCTTCCTTTTAAATCCCCATCTCTTCTCATGCTTGGGGAGAACTTCTGTTTTGCAGCAGACTGCCTTGTCTCTGGAATGGATACACGGTGTCTGTGTGCAGGTTCACAACCTGAGCCAGCACTACAGGAAGAGGCACTCAGCTGCAAAGGGAAGTTCTCCCCCAGCATGAGAAGACATGAGGATTTAAAAGGAAGAGCAGCAAAGAGAAGGGAAACGACCATGGATTACAGTAAGGCGCACATTACAGTATTGGTTTATGTTACAAAATCTGAGGGTTTAATGTCACTTTAAGTGCCATTTGTGAAATTGTAAACCGGAAAATAATTACAAGCTGATCCAATACTGTGACAACACGTGCACCAAAACAAAATTATTTTTACATGACCGAATAATAAATAAAATTGTCATTAAATACGGTTTAATTTGTCCCATCTTATGAAGTGAGGCGGCAGGCAGGAGCCTCATTGGGCTGGATCATATACACAGTTTTACAATCATTTGTTAAACATTTTATAGATAAGTTCTTAGCACCACTGACCTGCTCGGAGGTTTCTTCCATCCTCTGCGCCATGTCCATCCTTCTGTTTTCCTCTCCGAGGATGGAGAAAACCTTTTAGCTGTGTTTGTTCCTGTAGATCAGCCCAGGTAACCGCCGGGAGAGTGTGAAATGTCCTATACCGTTCTCTCAGACTTCATACTGCGGTCTCTATAGCGAACGCTCATCCGCATGGCGTATGTGAGCCAACAGAGGGAGATGTACACTGAGATAAGTCAGCAAAACAAAGAGCGTTTCATTCCATTGACACCGTATGATAAAGAGCGAGGAAATTTCCTGAAATTGGGTTGCCGAGCGCCCAAGTCTTCGACGTCACGTGGAGATTAATTATGGACAAATTCCATAATTAATCTCCAGTATGAAAAGGGAGATCCCCGCGCTCAGGCGCAGAAAGAGTTACGTGCTCCTAAACAATGTATCCGCCATTGATCTTTCCACTTTCCAGGATACATAGTATAAAGCAAACTTTCCCAACCCGGGGGGGCCTTCTGGCTTCATCAGGGGTGTCTTCAAATGTTTGCTAAAGAATTCTGATGTGAAGTGGGTCCTAATTTGAAGGAGGTTCTTATGTGAAGGGGGGACATTTATGTGAAGTTGGCACCTGATGTGAAGGGGGGTTCTGATGTAAAAGGCGAGGAGGGACCCTGATGTGAAGGAGGCCCCTGATGTGAAGGGGGATTGTGATAAAGAGGGGGAAATCTGATGTGAAATCAGGGTGCTCCTGATATGTAGAAGGGGGGACTCTGATCTGAAGTAGGCCCCTAATGTGATGTGATGTCTTTTTAACATTTTTACTTCTTAAAGCGTATTTCCACTTTTGCAGCCAAATTAAGGGAACACCTATTTTATTATTTTATATTTGTTACATGTTCCCCTTCACATCACATAGCATGAAAAAAATCAGATGTAAAAGGTGCTGCTGCTGTTTATAAGCGCTTTTATCCTACCTAGCGCCTCCTCTATGTAATGTTACGGGGGGG